GGGCCCTAGCCGCTCCCCCTGCCTCCTCCCAGGGACGACCTGGGATCTTCCAAAATGGTGGGACCTCCCCTTGGTGCAGGGAGAAGCGCCCTGAAGAGCTGCTTACTGTGGTAGATGGCTGCTCCCATCCACAGCAGAGGAACCTTCTGCTTCGTGTCTCTGCACTGCAGGGGTTTGATCGTTCACCTTCACGTCCACTCACAATCTCACACACTAGCTCACTCTCTCACACACTCACCCTCCCTCCGGTCCTGCCTGCTGCCATCCAGTGATGCCACCTTTCATTTTTTTGATATGAAAATGTATACACAACATCAAAATTTAATACTGTTTTTTTATTTTCTGATTTCAGTTTTTATTCTTATTTTTTTTCCTCAGCATACTTTGGGTTTAATTTTATCTTTCTGATTTCTTACGTTAAAATCTGAGATTATTGATGTAAGACACAATTTTTCAATATAGGTATTAATGCTGTAAATTTATTTCTAAGTATTCCTTTGCTACATCCCATAAATTTTGATATGTGGTATTTTTATTCAGTTCAAATACTTTCTAACTTTCCTTTTTATTTTTTCATTGATCAATGAGTTGTTTATAAGTGTTGTTCTATTTCCTAATATTCAGGAATTTTTCCAGATATCTTTACGTTATTGAGTTCCTAATTCTTTTGTTGGTTGGCAAGTTCTATAAATGTAAATTAGGTAAAGTTGGTTGATTGTGATGTTTAGGTCTTTTACATCCTTACTGATTTTTGTCTACTTGTTCTATCATTAATTGAGAAAGAGAGATTTTAAAAACTAATAATTACTGAAATTTTATTAGATTTTCTTTCTTTTATTTTGAAGCTAGGTAAATAAATTTGTAAGATTATTATGTCTTCCTAATGAATTAACCCCTTTATACAAGAATCCTTTATTTATTTATTTTGAATACTGTGTTTTTATTGATTTTTATAGAGCGAGAGGATGGAGAGGGAGAGAAAGAGAAACATTGATCAGCTGCCTCCTACACCCCACCACTGGGGATTGAGCCTGAAACCCAGGCATGTGCCCTGACTGGGAATTGAACTGGTGACCTCTTAGTGCATGGGATGAAGCTCAACCAACTGAGCCCCACTAGCCAGGGCTATACAAGAATTCTTTAATTCTTAGTAATGGTCTTCCCACTGTAATCTACTCTGTCTGAGAGCCACTGCCATTTTCTTTTTATTAGTGGTATCATGAAATATATTTTCCATGTTTTCACTTTCTTTATCTTTAAAGTGGATTTTTTTAGACTGCGTGCAGCTGAGCCTTGCATTTTATTCCAGTATGACAATCTCTCTCTTTTAATTTGGGTGTTTAGAGCATTTACATTTAATGTGATTATTGATGTGGTTGAATCTGCTTTTTGTTTTCTATTTGTATTATCTTTTCATTATTCCCTTTTTCTTGCTTTGTTTTAAATTTATTAAACATTTTTATGATTTTATCTAAAATCTTTTGTTAGGTTATTACCTCCAATTTTTTGTTTTATTACATTTTAGTGCTTGGTTTATAATTTATAGCAACACCATACAACTTATGATAGTCTTACTTCAAGTAATATTATCCCACTTTGCATATGGTATAAGAATCTAATATCCTTTCCCTTCTCTTTCCTAGCCTTTATGATATTGTTGATTATATGCATTATTTCTACATGTGTAATAAACCTAAAAATAATAATTTTTGTTTTGAATAGTCAGTAATATTTTAAAGAGATTTAAGAAGAAGGAAACACTCTTATATTTACCTATACATACCATTTTCAGTGTAATTATTCCTTTGTGTAGATTCAGATTTCTGCTTGGTAAGATTACCTTCTGCCTGAAGGATCTCTTTAACATTTTTTTGTAGGATATGTATGCTGATGATCTGGTAAGATTTTCTTTAGTTTTTGTATTTCTGCAAAATCTTTATTTTGCCAGATATAAAATTTTAGATTAATTTTTTTGTTCAGTAATTTAAAGGTATAGATAGATCCATGTCTTTTAGCTTGCATTATTTTAAAAAACAAGTCTCCTGTAATTCTTATATATGTTCCTCTGAATCTGATGTGTCCGTTTCCTCTGTCTGCTTTTATGGTTTTTCCTTCACAAGTTGTAAGCAATTTGATTATTTTCTGCCTTAATGTAGTTTTCTTAATATTTTTTGAGCTTGGGTTTTTTTTGAAAATCTTGTATCTGGGTTTAATTGTTTTATCACATCTGGAAAAATTTCAGCCATTATTCCTTCAAATATTTTTTTGTTCATTCCTATTTTTTGTGTGGAATCCAATTATACCTATATTATATAGCTTGCAGTTGTCTTACAGTTCATGGGTTCTGTTTATATTTTTTTACTTTTATTTTTTATTGTTTCTATTGACAAATCTTGAAGTTCACTTGTCTTTGTTTTGGCATGTCTAATCTGATTTTAATTTCACTCAATATAGTTTTCATCTCAGACATTGTATTTTTTATCTCTCGAAGTTAAATTTGAGTCTTTATGATATATTCAATATCTATACATAATATGGTCAGTCTTTTAGTTTCATTAATAAATAGAATGCAACTATAATAATTGTTTTAATACCCCTGTCTACTCATTCTAATATCTGTGTCACTTGTGGATCAGTTTCAATTGATTGATTTTTCTTCTCATTATGAGTTGTGTTTTTCTGCTTCTTTGCATGACTGATAGTTTTTTATTGGATGCCCAAAATTGTGAATTTTACCTCGTTGAGTGCTGAATATTTCTGTATTTCTATAAATATTTTTGTAGTTTTTTTTCCCCCCTGGTATGCAGTTAAGATACTTGGAACCAATTTTTATTTTTATTTTTTCATCTCCATTTATCCCCTCTATACGCTTATCTACCTCCCCACTCCTCCCCCACAATCATCACACTGTTGTCCATGTCCATGAGTTCTACTTTTTTTTTTCTTGCTCAATTCCTTCACTCCCCCCAACACCCTTCCCCCAGTTTGATCCTTTTAATGCTTGCTTTTAAGCTCTGTCAACTGGAACTAGTACAGCTTTTACTGTAAGGTTTATTTTCTTCACTACTAAAGTAATACTGTTTTAAGTACTCACCGATGACCCTTGTGTTGTGAAGTTTTATATTAAAAATTTTTTTTCTTTATTGCTTTTAGAGAGGTAGGAAGATAGAGGGAGAGAGAGAGAGAGAGAGAAATATTGATGAGAGAGAACATTGAATGTCCAGCTCCTGCATGCCCCCCACTGGGGATTGGGCCCACAACCTGGGCAAGTGCCCTGACCGGAAATCAAACCGGCGACCTTCTGGTACATGAGTCGATGCTCAACTGCTGAGCCACATTGGCTGGTCTGAAGTTTTATACTTTTGATGATGGGAAAATAAACTATTCCTGGCCTTATGTGAGTTCTGGGATTGTTCTTTCTGCTCCTTTGGGATATCTTTCCCTAACCTTGGTTAGTTTCCTTATGTAGATGAGCTAGCTGATCACTAATTGCTTAAATTATTGTGAGGGATTCTGAAGATCTTTGGAAGTCTATGTGCTTGTCTCTCTTCTTCCCTATGAACTATAGCCACCTTGGCCTCCCTGGACTCCCAGCTCTATTTTCTTAACTTACTGAGACCATAAAGCTCTGCCTCTGTGCACTACAATCAGTATGATTTCTGTCTTTATGCGGTAAGCTGTAAGGATAACCTCATTTGCTTTTCCTATCTCAGGAATCATATTGTTCATTGCCTGATGTTCCATGTCTGAGAACTGTTGTTTTCATACATTTTGTTCATATTTTTTAGTTGTTTAAGCCAGAACGGTACATTCAGTCTTTGTTTGTCCATCTTGATCAGAAGCAGAAGTCTCCACATATGTGAATAAATTATATAATACATTTTAAGCATGCATTATGCTGAGTGTTTCATACATAGAAAATTTTCAATAACAGATGGTTACTATTATTTCTCTGCTGTGTCCTGTTAATGAGACTTTATGTTATATACCACCTTCAATAAGAAACCTTTCTGGACTATTACCTTTACAGATGGCTTATTACTCTTAATTCTTTGTATCCAAATCACTTTTACCTACTTTTATTATGACACGAATCTATGTTACAAATTTTGGTCTACTTATCTTTTTGTGGTAGATTGTAAGCTCTTAGACAAATAAACTCTATTTTGTTTATCTATTCTTAGTTTCTAGCACATAATGAATGTTTAGATATTTGTTGCAAAAATGAATAATCAAGAGAGTCTTACACCTTTTATAAAATATTTATCATTTGATTGGAAAGGAAAGAGAGGTGGGTTAGGAGTATGAGAACATTTGAGCAAAGTGAAAGCAGAAAAAGATACAATATTTTGGGGATTCAGAGAACAGCATGAGAGCAAAAGGTGGTTGGTTGAGGTTGGTGATATAAATTAATAATAATAATGATAGTAGTAATAATAGTAGTTCCTGTGAAAATGAGAGAGGATAGAAGAGTATAGAATGGAGAATGGGAGAAACATATTATAGTGTGTCAAATAAATCATTTTCTGATTACATTGCTGTAATATAGATGGTAATATTGGTAACACTGTGTAAGTGTATATTGTATGAATCCTTGTAACTTGAAGTGTTGTAATAAAGGCTTTTAAACAAAGTGCTGAGAGAATACAACATACTTTTTGGAGTAGATGAACCTTGGAAAGAAGTGGTAGGGACGGATTAACTGAGAAGAGCCAGAAAGGAATTCTTACTAATAGAGAATAACATAAACACAATAGTATGTAGTCCATAAATAAGCATAATGTAGCAGAAAGAACAAATTAACCTTGGAGTTGGGTTCATAGGGCTTTACTCTCCTCTCCACCATTGGTGTGACTATGGACAAATTACTTAGCTTGAGACTCAATTTCCTCAGCTATAAAATGAATGTGGTTGTTAGGAAGATTATCTGATGCATAGAGAACATTTATTTTATATTTGGCAGATAGTGGGTCCAATAACTATTAGTTTCTTCTTTTTAGACATTCTATACCTTCTGATGAGGAAAGGAAAATGCTTCAAGAAGGACTTTGTGACCTCTCATCACTTTGTATAAGAGCCCAGGTATAATATATGAATATATATCTATATAATTTATGAGTATAACTAATGTTCCCACTTATTTCTTATTTCTGTGGAAAATGAGGATTGCACTGCATTTTTTTTGTGGTCTAATACTAAGGCCTAGGTAACTTTAACATCCAGTTTCTTTGTATTTTCTAGTTTTAACTTATATTTGAAACTATTGGGGATTATTGGCCAAACTTGACATACAAATGAAACCATTTTACTACCACAATTAAATATTTTTTAGAAATGCTTCTATTTATAGGGGACATAGCTATTGAATGAAAGATTGGACAGATGAGTATCAGAAATCTTAAATTTTCCCAATTTTCGAACCCATTTGTATTTATTTCTTTATGATACAATTGACATATATTAGTTTTAGGTGTAGGTTATGTATTTTATGGACAAAATCAATTTTTTCATCTTTACCCGAGGATATGTTTTTCATTGATTTTTAGAGAGGAAGAAACAGACACACACACACACACACACACACACACACACACACACACACACAGAGAAAAACATCAGTTGATTGCCTCCTGTATAAGCCCTGACTTGGGATTGAACCCACAGCCTAGGTATGTGCCCTGACCAGGAATCAAACCTGCAACCTTTTGGTGAATGGGACAATGCTTCAACCAACTGAGACATCTGGCCAAGGCAAACAAAATCAGTTTTGATCTCAATTTCCCGTCATAGAAATGATACAATATAAAGTACAGAGTAAAGTTTAGAAACCTTGGACTTAAAAAAAAAGCATACTTTAAATCTCTAAACAACTTATAAAAGACCACTGTTAATGTACACTATTCACAGAAATACTTTGGATATATGAAGATTTTAAAAGTGGTTCTAGCATAACTAACCTAGAAGATGGAGAAATCTTTTATTTATTCACTGAAGGAAAATTCAGGACTTTTCTAGTTAACTAACTCTGTGTTTGGTTAAGAGAACTAAAGAATTTTCAGTCAAGTAGAATGAAAAGTTATAAACCATAATAATTTTGGAGCCAATTTGCAACATTGTTTTTAGTTCTTGAATACTTCCATTGATACATAGAATTTATAAGTGTAATACATAATGCTGCTGATCCTGCTAAATGAAGAAACACCTTTAATTCTCTACCTGGTATCTCAAGTGCTGGGTGCTGAATTGTCAAGCATCTGGCATGGAGTGGCACCTGGCTTCATTTGTTCCCTTTGCTATAGACTAGTTCTTTGCATTTATGAATCTTGTCTGGCCTGGATGACAGTTTGCTTGGTTAGAGTCACTTTATTTTTAGTTTAAGACATGTTGCCTCCAGGATGCTTGTAAACGTGTTGAGAGGCTGAGTTTTTGATGGATCTCACAAAACTCCTCTATAGGGCATGAACTGAAACCGAGAAGCCGACAATATTAATAATTCAGCATTTGGCAGTATTGTGGATATTAACGCATTTGTAGTTCACCTTGACAAACCTTGGCCCAATCACATTCGAAAATGAATTTAGTCATCTCATTTTAGTCTCTGGTGAGTATTTTAATATTTTTTTCAACCCATATATGAAATAGAGAAAATATTAATCTCCCTTTAGAAATGCAAGGTTCATAGCCCACATGACTATGTGTTGTGAAATAAAAGAAAATATGTTACAATAAATTGACATCTTGATTTAATGAAAATAATGTTTAGGAATTTTTATATTATATTATGGCTGATTTGGGATATTTTAAATTGCTCGGTTATTCAAAATTTTAGGGCAAAGTACTTACTTTGGTATTTCAGGTAAACATTTAACTCAACTTTAACCAGTAAATTTATATACTTAATACAGGTAAACTGTATAAAGTATTTATCAAAAAATTAAAATATGCTAATTATAATAATAAGTACATATAAAAGCTAAGTATATTTAGTATTTAGGACTTATAGTTATTTTACAAAAATTACTTTCATGGGGAAATAAATGTATCTTATTGTATTAAAATGCCTTAGGAATGACACAATTTCTATTAAGTTATTAGTAATTCCAGGACACAACTCATAATTTGTGGGGCCTAGAAATAATATAGCAATGATTGGAGTGGAAAGATTCTGATTCTTAAAATTTGGTGGCTTGTTGAGCTGTCTGAATAATCTATGCCCTTCTGGCACATACCAAATGCATTTAAAATTGAAAAGGAATTTTTTTTTTTTTTAATTATCTAACCTAGTTTCTTTCAGGCTAATATACAACCACTTTGTTGTCAGATTTTCTCTTTTGAAGGATATAAATGAAGAATTTAAATTTTCATATAAACAAAAAGTATATTATTTGGTCCTTGCAGTATTTGGTTCCTTATTTTTACCTAGAAATCTTTACTATTACATTCAACTTGAACTCTAAGGGGGAAAAACTTATAAATTTGAAATAACTTTTTGTGGTGATAAAATGTGGTTTACATTATTCGGTGAAAAACACTGACTTAATAAAACTGAAATAAACCAATCAAATGGAGACTATTTTGTTTTGGCTGCTTATAAAAATGATTTTAACTTTTAATGAATTTTAGTATAGTCAGAGACTTATGTCTCAATATTATATTTTCATTAACATAAATCTTCAAATGGGCAATTATGTCCACATGATAAATATGTGGGGTTAATGATGGTAATTTGCCACCTGTGTCATGAAGCAGCTCCTTTTGTAAAAATTTCCATAGTTTTTTTGGTAAGGCTTTAGAGTCTAAAAAATTGAAATTGAAAGGGAAAAAATTTTAACACTTTAAAGATCTCACTCTTAGCTAAGAAATGAATCATGTATAATGCCTAAAAATAAGTAGAAAAGAATTAGAAATATATTTTAGATCCATTCAGAGAATTTGTAGGAGTGTCTTTATTATGCTATGGCACTAATAAATGGCATTGTGCTACTAGCTTTGTAATAAGAATGGAATAGATGGAAACCATAAGCTAGTTTAGTAATTTTGGCTCAATTTCTCTCCACTTCTGAATTCCTTGCAAAGTAGAATGTACTACACCTCTGTGAACAACCTGAATTTCTCTTGCTCTGGAAAATTGTGAAGTCCAACTTGGCTTTTGACACAGTCTAAATTACGTGGATTAAGTAAAGCTGATCTTAAAAGAGAAAAATTGGATACTCAGCAAACCCCAGCAGATATTTTGACACACTCTTGGAACAGATAAGAGTTGTCATAAATTTAAACATAACCTTTCCTAGCACAGAAACTTCACTAATAAATGGCTTTGAATATTTTATGAATGACTGAGCACCCTGCTTTGCTAAAAATCTTCTGGAAGCTATGACTTTTTGGGGATGGTTTTACTTTTGGAGAAAGGAGTGTTTAAGAGAAGGTACTGATGAGGTGTCATAATTTTACAAGTTGCATAACTGCTTTTAACTATAAACTATCTCTGATTAAAATAACAATTGAGCTTGTAATTTTTTCTGAACAGCTGCTGCTACAGGGGGTCATTTCCTTGGAGAGCTTGAAAATAATTGTACTCCTGGTACCTGAGTTACGTAGTCTTGTGTTTTACAGCAAAGCACAAAGTTTAAAGCCTATAGAAGAATGTTATTTGAAAGCTGTCAAACCATGTTAAAAAAGACTGCATCGTCAAAAGGCCCTGGTGGCCACGATTCTGCATGTAGCCTTGTCTTATTCATTATAAAATGCATGTTTATAAAGTTCCACAGAGCATCCAATTCCCAATTCACTTATATCAGCAAGACTTAACTTGCTCATTAATCTAAATTCTTTTGCAACTTTAATCTACATGTTTAATTAATCATAAAATGAGGCGGTAAGTAATTTCAGCAATGTGTGGCTTGTTATCAGATGCATTTAATCACTCTTCTGTGAGCTCATTTGGAAACACCTGAAGATGTCGAGTGCAGTTTGAATAAGCATAAATTATTCTTTGTCAGTGTACTTCACTCAACTAATAAGACATTAATTTAAAAGGCACTGTTTGTCATTTTTAGATCTTTACCAATATTTTTAGCTTGGCAATATAACTCTAATTGTATATATGATTCACAACTAGTGCCCGACATAGGAAAGGGTAAGAGTTTAATTCATTTTTCTTATTTACATGTAATTATGTCATGTAATCTTGGTTTTTAATGAGGATTAACCATCTTGTAAGTATTCATATGCTTTTGGAATAAGGTACTAATGAATTATAGTTAGAAAAATTATTTGTTGGTACAAAGGATTGTGATTCCTTATTTCTTGCCTAGGTTAGGTCTGAAAGGATGTGAGGTTTGGGAGAGGACATTGATTTGAGAATACAGGTATTGCACAGGGATTATATAATACAGATATTAACCTTTAAAAAAATCCAAGTAATATAAAACTATATCTAGCTATCTCACATAATAACATATGTAGTCCTTTATAGAGGACCAGGTAGCCTAAAATAATGACAGTCCCATCCCCCTCTCTCCGTCTCTTAACATTATTGCACAGTTGATGATAGCAATTTTTAAAAGGGCAAAAAACAAGAACAACAATAATATCAAAACCCACTTATAGCTTCAGAGCAAAAAAAATTCATGAGAGCTGAATGTTATATATCTTGATGTCAAGAGTATAGGAATAAAGATCGCATTTTATAGGATGTCATCACCTGTCCTGTTTATGCCATGAGAGCAGTGACACACGGTAAGAATAATTATCTCAGTGGAAACAAATTTATTTACCTGCCGTGGAGCATTCCTGTTCATCTTACTCATGAACTCATCTCACTCATCTGCTATCTATGGATTGTCAACAGTGAGCCAGAGGGGATGATTCCTGAAAAGGGAATATTGGTTTGAGCTGAAATATAGCCATATTCTCCATTTTTATTTGACCTGCACATATTCTGGGCTTCTCTTTCTTTAGGGATCCTTTACACTGAGCTAACAGTTATTTATATGTCCATTTTTTACTCTATGACTCATGACTATGTAAAAATTTTTCTTCCTGTTATCCTTTCTAAGGGAAAACAAAATCCCAGGAAAGATGATTTGTATTGTTGAAGTTATATAGACCATAGCAGCACGTCGCAGTGAAATGCCATTTACCCTAATTTCACTTAAAGAATTATAAATTGTTTTTTTAGAACCCCTGATGAAAACCTCTAACACTGTGTCCTTCTTTAGAATCATCCTTGAAAAATAACATTTCATTTGAACTTAACTTTCTTGATAAGAATACTTTTCTCATTCCTATAGAATGTTAGTAGAGAGACACGTAGAGTCTAATATGAAGGCTCACTCTCAGTTCTTTTTTTTTTATCCTCACCCGAGGATACTTTTCCATTTTTTGTTCAGATAGAGTGGGAGGGAGAGAGAGAAAGAGAAACATCAACGTGAAAGGGACACATCTAGTGGCTGCCTTCCGCTCTACCCAACCAGGGCCGAGGACAAACTGCAACCAAGGTACGCACCCCTAGCGGGAACCGAACCCGGGTCTCTCTGGACCGCGGGCCAACGCTCCAACCGCTGAGCCAAACCGGCCAGGGCTCAGTTTTTTTTTTTATAAGGAACCTTTCAGATTTCCCTAACTCTCCTTCCCTCAGCAAAACCTGAGATTATTTTTCCAAACAGATTTATTTTCTAACTTGTTGTTTTGGGTACAAAGAAAGAACACAGTGCTCCCTCCCCAACTGATATGCGAGAGATCTATTAGGTCCTTCCACACAAAGACAATGATGTATTTTATAAAATATTATTATTATTATTATTTTAAATCCTCAACCGAGGATATTTTCCCATTTATCTTTAGATAGAGTGGGAAGGACGGAGAGAGAGAAACATCAATGTGAGAGAGACAAATCGACTGGCCCCCTCCCACACGGTCAGGGATGAACTGAAACCGAGGTACGTGCCCTTGACCAGAATTGAACCTTTGACTCTTTGGTCCTTGGGCTGACGCTCTAACTGCTGAGCTAAACCAGCCAGGGCATAAAATACTATATTTTAACTGTAGCTATTTGTCTGTATCATGTATTTCAAGAGGAAAATGCTAACTCAGTTCCATGCAGCTCTATATTCTCAGACGTTCACATGTGTGCTTTTGCATACACACACACACACACACACACACACACGTGCACACACACACACACACAACTTTACCCAAAAGGCATAAACACTGACATTTTTGCCTGGTCAGTCACAAATAAGGACATACTACTTAAACATGCTTCTTCAATGGTGACTTCAGAATGTACAATACCCAGATTCATGTACTGCTCCATATCTAGCTGATCTGACAGAGATGGTTAGCAGGGCTCTGACTTTAATGCATCATTTCTATGGCTGAAGGACAGCATACTGATAAAGAAAGGGATTACTGATGTCAGAGAGGGGTGGGTGAAGGATGAGTGAGGAGCATGTGCTATGTGGTATCCACTAACACATGTGCCCTGGGGACGATTTGGAAGGCCTGCTTGGACATCAGAGTCTTCAGCTGCTGTGGGACTTCAGGCTCAGCAGATGATTGAGAATATCACCGTGCAATTGGTTACAGGAAACACTG